TAAGCAGGTCACTCCTCAGGCTGGCTTATAAAGCTGTGTACTGCCTCCAGTTTTTGAGCTACTTTCCCACCTGGGGCATCTGTTTGAGACCTGGTGCCCCATGTCCAGCCTCCTCTATATTCAGAGGTATAAACAAACTCATGGTTTACCCCACTCTGCTTGCAGTGGTTGATGGAAAAACCCCTACATTTCCCTAAGGAATCTGAGAGCCGTGATGATAAGGACATGCTTATAGTACCATGCAAGGGGACAGGCAAGGGATAAGCTGTGGGCTCATTTCAGACCAGACACGTGACCTTTACATCTGCAGGAACAGGTGATGTTCAGCAAGGTAGAATGGATGTATGAGGTTGTAAAAAAGATATGGGTGATCCTTTCTAACGGGTGTTCTATTTTGCCTTCTCATGTCAGCTTCTTCTGTTAATCAGAACATAACCCCCCAGCAGATCAGACCTACAGCTCTGGTAGAGCCTGAAAGCTTGGAAGCAAGCTGGCCCAGTTGACATTTCTGCATTTATGACCCAAAGCCACAAATTCTTTTCTAGCAGAAACTAATTAAATGGGGACTAACCCTGGAAAGCCACTGGATTCTCAACAGCAGAACAACACCAGAAGACCATGCAATGCTTTTTCATGCCTTGCACTGCATTGGGCAGAAACTAGAACACAGGAGATTCTATCTGAACATGAGGAAAAACTTCTTTACTGTGAGGGTGACAAAACACTGGAACTGCCCAGAGAGGTTGTGGAGGCACCATCTCTGGAGATATTCAAAAGTCATCTGGACACAATCCTGAGTAATGTGCTCTAGGAGAGTTGAGCTGGAAAGTTGAATGACATGACCGCCAGTGGTCCCTTCCAGTGGTTCTGTGCTTCATTATATAAGCTTTGAGTTTTGAATTCCCCTACGAGAGATTCAAAAAAGTTGTTTTTGAAAGGCTGAAAAAAGTCATCTTCTGAAGTTTTGATTTATAAGGACTGAAAATAACATTCATAAGAAACAGTATGCATTTTCTGCCATACACATTCCCCAACAAAATAAAGGAAACTGAAACTGCATGAACTCTGAAAGCTGACAGGTAAAGGACAACACAGTGAAATGGAGTCAGTGTTTTGATACCCTTGTTTGCTTTCAGTGAACAGGTTTAGAATAAGAAACTGGGGGTTGATGTTGAACAGGAAAAAACTTTTCACCACAGTCTTCACAGATGAGTACAGAAGCAAAAAGCTGAGAGAGGACATGTTTGTCTCTACTTTCCCCATGCTCAGGAACTGGTTTAATGATTAATCTGAAACAGCTAACATCTGCAATGCATCAGGGAGAAGACTGGAGAATGAGGTACACTATTGAGACTGAGAAAATAGCATTAAGAAACCCTACAAAACATTTGAATAGGAAAGGAAACCAGGAGGGTTTGCCTTCACCTTTAATAGCCTTTCTCTTCCTTCTTGCATGGGATAGATGTCCTGATTGAAACCCATGTGTGCTGTGGCCATGCTGCCCTTTTGACTCCCACCCATACTTCCCATGGACACCTTGATTTGCTCTAGAGCTTCTCCTAATAGAAAACCATGGTTGGAAATGTCATTGCTAAAGTGTTAAAAATATTCTGATGAACATTTGTAGGGATGTGCCATGACAACACTTTTCTCCGGCTGAAGAGAACCTCACTGCGTCTGGAGTGCTCCCTCAGCCAAGGCAAAGGGAGAGAGAATCTTGCCCTCCTGCATTGGGTGTATCTCAGTACAGGTGAAGGAGCTCCCATGGCATCAAAAGTACCAGCAGGGACTGTGCTGCCACTGAAACATAACAGGATCAAATCATGCTCTCACCATGCTGAGGCTCAGGGGCACTAGACATCAAGCCCTAGAAGCACTGTAGACTTTCTTCTTGAACAGAATGAGCTAAAAACCTTAAAAAACCTTAAAAGCCTCTGTGTGGCACTTCACACAAAATCTAGATTTCATGTACATGACAGAAGGCAGCATAGAAATACCTCTGCAAGGATGTGCTTAATCCGTGGGATTTCTCATCACACCTGCTAGCAGCTACCACTGCCCACTGGTGAGACCACACAAAGGATCAGATTTCCTGACAGCACATACTCACCACCTGCATGTATGGCCCATGACAGGCTGCGATATATTGTCATGGGACAAGAGGCCACAAATCCATCTGAAGGAACTGTCAACATTTGCAACCTCTAAATACAGAGTGGAAATGATTTATTACTACAACCCACAAAATAAAACAATCTTTCGAAGTGACTGTCTGGGCAGCCAGTAATAACTCTGAGTTTATTAAGGCCTAGTCAAAGGAGGAAAAAGAAGCAGAAGTGAAATGCCTTTCTATCTCCAGCTCAGCTTCTGCACTTGAACAACAACACAGTGTCTACACACCACACACATATGAAATGCTGAGTTACAGAAGTAGTATTATGGGGCTCTGAGCAATCTGATCTAGTGGAAGTTGTCCCTGCCCATGCTAGGAGGCTTGGAACTAGATGACCTATAAGGTCCCTTTCAACCCAAACTATTCTGTGATTCTATGATTCTATTATATCCAAGCTCTCAATGACTATTCTCACCCAGCTATTTTCTCCTTCTTTGATACAAAGGCAAACCAAGATCAATACTGTAGGTAATAATCTCAATTAATCTTGCAAATTGTTTTTGTCCATAAACAGCAATATTGGAAATAAATAAAAAACCTTTGAGAAGTCCTGAGGGAAATAATAAAATATTACACTGAGGCAATTACATACACTTTCTGTTAAGCAGACGAAGTCCACATGTTGTGGCCTCTTACACTCATTACTTCAGCAGACACAAAAAATATTACAGTAATATTAGTTTGTCAGGAAATACTTCAGGTAACAAAGTATATATTTCATCAGATTTTACTGCACCATTAAACACATTCATGTCCCATAACATACAATACATACACAGGGAGAGTGTAGGGAGAGTGTAGGCTGTGAGAGCATGGGCTCTGCATTGCTGATTTCGGAGATGTGGTTCCTCAAGCACTATCAACAGCAATATCCACACTGATACCAAGGAGAAATCCTATCTCCACCTTTTTTTCCCCACGACCATGTGTTCCCACTTCTACCTTTATGCCAACAGTTGGCACAATGTAGCCTGATCAGAGACCTTGCAGGAGAATAACCACAATTAAAAAAAGACAGAGAAATGTAATGCCAGCACAAAGGGGCATTATACTACATAGCCACGTGCACAAGGGCACTTCAACTTTTTCCAGGGAGCTGCTTGTTTACAGACATCAGTTAAAGGTTACTCTAGTGCCATGGATTTTCCTAATTAATATATCAGATCTGCTGATCCCGTATGGATGTCTCTGATACTCACATGGCAGTTGGCAAGTGAGACTGACAGCCATGCCAAGCCCCTCAGGTCTAGGAGATCTTGAAGGGGGATCTCACTCTTTCACCTCCTCATTGTTCATGGGGTTGAAGGGGCTAAAAAATACTCCCACAAAAGTGACTCACCTCAGTTTTCTGGAATGTTTCCAGGCAGATGAGAGCCAGTGCAGTTATGGCCTCTTGTAGAGGCAGAAAACAAAGAGCTCCTCTTCAAACCAAACTAAGAGGAACAAATCACAGTGGGGTTGGATCAAGGGTTGGACTTGATCTCAAAGGTCTCTTCCAACCCAGTTAATTCTATGATTCTATGAAATGGCCTCAAGAAAAGGGGAAGGGAAAGACCTGAAACTGGGCCGATCCACTAAATCACAGCAAGGATAACTGTGAAAGGGAGGAGGAACTGGTTTCTGAAGCTTCCAAAAGCGTAAAATGTGAAAATGGGGGTGTTGGAAATATTAAGGTTTGCGTCACTACAGGACCCATAGTAACCCATCACCTGCTCCAAAGCTAAAACCCAAGTAAATAAAAGAACAAAAATCAGTCTTGCCCACAAACACCCAAACAGCTCTAAAAAATCATTAATGTCTTCCCAAAAACTACCATGCTTAAAACCCAGCAATCCTTGTGCAACAGTCCCAAGGAGTACAGGAGCAGGGCTGGGAGGTTTTCCAAGCAAACAAATAACCCCACCTTGACATGCAGGTGGGTATCGTCATGCCAAGGGAGTTCCCTGTTGTTGCCTTCCTCTGGTAGCTCTGCAAGCTCACAGCCTTGGGATCCTAACTCACCAACCCACAGTAAAACTGTTGGCTCCACACTCTTGTCGTCAAAGAAGAAGTCCCAGCTCTGGTTCTAGGAAGCACTGCCATCAGCCATCAGCCAGGAGTTCTGTTGCACCAGCTACCTGAGCACAAAAATTCACAGATTTCCTTCCCTCTGAGAACATGGGGCTGAAAAATGCCTCCTGCTCTATAGGTATCCACCCAGTAGCAAATGCAGAATCCAGAGGGGAAAGTTTTTGGGACCTTCCTCAGGCTATCACCTGTGAGTGGGCTGATCACAGAGGAAGGAGAGCAACTAATTCCAAGTCATTTTATGCACAATTTATACCAATACTTTGCACTGTAAGAAAGTTGTTTGCCTCTCAAGCCGAGAAAAACAAGAACGTTGAGTATCCTCCCATGCCTTCTAGTCTGTGAAGCAAAAAGCAGGGAAAAGGTAAAGGGTTTAATCAACCTCCAATTCGTTTTTATTGTTAGCAGATGCTCCAGCTTGCTAGTTTTCAGGGGCCACTTCAGTCTCTCTTTCGCAGTTGCCTAAATGCATTGTCAGCACTGAGAGTGACAGATACACCAGTGACAAAAACCAGTTATGCTCCAGAGCAGAACAGCAGAGCTCTCTGCCTGGTTCCTACTCAGAAAGGACTGTTTGGAGGGGAAAGCCAGAGTGGTGCAGGCTGAACAACATGGTGAAGAGGGAGCAGAGCCAGCAGCACACAAGTGCTGGAAGGGGGCTCTTCACAGGACGCTGGGGAGAAGCTGAAGTTATTGTCCTGCCCTCCTCAAGCCCAGCTGTTCCTGGGCCCCAGAATGGTCCTCCACGGTGGGCACTTACCTTGTGTGTGCTGTACCAGGGGCCAGAGAGGGGCCCATTCACGGTGCTTGGTCCCCCAAAGGATGCATTCCAAGATTCCCTCTCTGAAACTGGGATGATGCCCATGTCCCTGTCCTCAGGTCCCAGCCACTGCCCATGCCATGCACTGGCACATCAGTGGGGATGGGTGGCTGTGAGGAAAGGCGAACAGGACCTGGACGTGGCACTCACTTCCTGGTGTGGGAAAGGCTGCTGGCAGGGGTCACCCTGCCCGCAGGTGTAGAGGCTGCGATTGCCGGTGCAGCCGAGGCTGCAGCCGAGGGCTGCGAATGCAGGTGTACACCAGGAGACCCTCAGCTGGGGAGCAGTTGTAGCACAGGAGAGGAAGGGGAGCTTGACAAAATCTTTTGCTGCTCCTTCCCGAGGCATTCAGGTGCCTTTTTTTCTCTCTGACTTCCCCGATGCCCCACCCTGCTCTGAAAAGGCAGCCTGGGAATTTAACTCCTTCAAATCAATGCCTAAATCTAATGGTCAGTTATTAACTCGTCACTGCTAGATTGCAAGACTTAGAAGTTGTTGTTCCCAAAGGGATATAGTCACTTGCATAGTTCTGACTGCTGTCCTGTATTGTTCTCCTGTAAGTATTTCCTGAATAGTTTATTTGCAGATATTTCAGGCAATGGGGTTTTTCCCCCAGCCTGTGGCTTTACCCGTTCATTCCCTTATTGTTGATTTTATCACTTAAGTTCTCCTGTGGAAAACCAAAGCTAAACAGTATCATTAAGGGCAAAGTAGAGCTAGCAAGGTAGGAGCTTGGCAGAATTACATGGGAGACAGAAATAAACTTGTAGAGAAGCACAGAAAGGAATATTAAGACACTGCCTCTTCAGGCTCTGGACAATACAACTGCTTGAAATCCAGAGAGTTCATACTGTACCTTGGAAGAACTAACTTATTCATCCCGTTGGTTAGCTGGGCTTGAAAACGTCCAAAGTCATGGCAATTAACTGTAGCAGCAAGGGTCAGCAGAAACTTATTCTGCCCCCTGCTACAACAGTTTTCTCCTACTCTTAAGAACGGCCATTGATTGCTTAGTTCTACTGGGACTTGTGGTCCTACCATCAGCAATATGCATCAAGAGAAGAGAGAACAACTCAGCATGCAGGATATCAGCCTGGGAACTGGGCTTCCAGCAGGCAAGGAGATATGATCCCTAATAGAAATGCAGCAAAGCTGGCTGCAGAGAGAGAAATGAGGATACAACCCCTCAGTATGATTAATTTGTTCAAGAAATGGAAGGAACATACAATTACAGGAAAGAAACTGAAGTTAAATTAACACTCTCCTAATTGACTAAATAATGTCTGAGCCTTGAGGATGTTATTTGAATCCAGACAGGAGGTGATATAGAGAAGGCAGAAACTGCAAAGTAGTGCTTCAGTTAGGGGATGATATACCACCCCAAAACACAAAATCTTGCCTTTTAACAATAAATGTTTTGTTCATGTGTGTGGCCTAACTTGAAATACCAGTTTCTGTGATCACAGCTCTGGTGAGTCCTCTGTAAATACTGGAATTAGCTGCAGCCATGTGTACCTAGGTACACTGGAAAAAACCAGCTCCAATATTTCACGGCTATGTAAATTGCTGCGGACTATTTTTAAAGTGTTGTGTAATTATTCTCTGCAGTCCAAGTTTACATTGAAGAAACAAATTTGAGGCAATCCGGGTTATGGTTGCAAAAAAAAACCTTTAAAGTGGAACTGGAGTGAAAACTGCTGCAATGATATTTGCCCCGTCTAGAGAGAGCTGAAACAAAAGCTCAGAGGGGAGTGTGAATGGACCCATTCTTCTAACTCCAGTGCTAAACTGGAAGTCTGCTGACAATTTAAGTGTCAACATCAGCTACTTCAAGGCGGATCATTTTAGCAGAAACACCAGGCTGATGTTCTTATTTGTCATCCTCAATTTGTTCTTGTTGGATAGCAGATCCTGGGGCTAAGAGGAAAAGCAGCAAGGACTGTCAAAGGTTGCTGGGCTGAGGAAAGTTCTTCTGTTCCTCACCCTTCTTCACCCAGTCACTCCTGCCCCAGCTCAAAATGGGGAGCAAAGAGCCTGATGGGGAAATTGTCTTTGGTAGCCAAATGCTGCAGTGGTCTCCACCAGCCTGCCAGTGACCTTTATGGTATGGTTCTCTGTTGCCAAAAAAGCACAAACTGGTAGGAGATTGAAAAGGAGTGTAAGGGGAGTGGGAGGAGAAGAGCAGCCCAAAATATCTCTTGAGGACAGTTGCTGTTGTTTTGCTTCATTCTTGTTGGTTCACTGCCTAAAATACAAATGTGACTGTGGTTTTCTCTTGCATAAGAAAGTTATTGGAACAGGTTTTCAGTAATGTTGTCTATATGAAGCCCTTGTTCAGTTGCTTTTGAAGTTGATCTAGCACATCATTCCACATTTGGGTCCAGACATACCCACTCTGTCTAAACATGCCAGGGGCCCTTATGGCATATATTTATTAAGTATCTCTGATTGTCTTGCATATATATCTGCCCTGAATTATTCAGATTATTTAACTGTCCTTTACATTGTAAGCCATGTCTATTAAGAAAGTAAAGAATATTATAGAAACTATTTCTGCTCAGTTACTACCCTCCATTAGAAAAAACAAATATGTGCAAAAATGCAAAAATACTTGTGCATTTCTGTTTTCAGGCTGAAAGTGATGTTGGGGTGTTTGGCATAAACTTATCAAGTCCTTGTGTCTGACGCTTGAAATATCCTGCAGAATTGTCCCATAAAGTGGAAGCAGAAGGCAGGATCAGCAGGATGTTTTAGCTGAGAGCATTACTTCCAGTTTTCAGTGGCACACAGTTGTGCAGAACATTTCTGGTTAAAGTCTAGTTCTTTTTGAGGGTCCTTCAAATCAAGGTTATCCTATGCCAGCTGGGCTGATAGAATAGACTACAGCCACTTCAAAAACATGGAAATATAAGGTGTTTTCAGTGGGCACTGCAATACATTAGCAAAACAGCACAGCAGAGACCTGGCACCCAGGTCAGAGTCATATCACCGGGGACATGTGCAGAAAGCACCACGTACTATTTCCTATGTGCGTATTTGCAGTTGTTGTCCTTGTTGTACTGCGGGGAGATTGGGGTAGCTCAAAAAATACCTCAGTGAAAGTATCTACAGAATGGTGACGTGACTTGCTGTTGCTGGATCTGTCTGTTTTTACACCTAAGCAAAGGCGACAGGAGTGCAGGTTTGTGTCCAGCTGTGGTGACTGACCCACGTCAGTATCAAGACAGGACTGTTGCTTAGCAGCTCACTCTGAATAGCAGCTCACTCTCTTTGAGTAGCACAGAGCAGGACAGAGCATCTGTGTATATGGAGTAGATGCTGCTTGAGTTGGTTTGCTGGAAAAATCTCAAGGTTGGTTAAACTGAGTAACCTGCAAAGTGGCAGTCTTTGACTCTTCTCATTCTATTGCCAGTGATTTTTAGGTAGAAGAGAAGGGGCTACACAGTCTGGGAAATTACATCCATCCATCAAGTTAACAACTTGGGTTACTTCTGAGCCATGGAGATGCAACAGACTATTTTGAGCGTTAATTGCATAGATTCCCTTACTTGGATACTGTATTCCTATATGATATCCTTTGGCCAAGCAACAATTGCTGTTAACAGTAGATAATATTCGCTAGTTTGATCACAAGGATTTGGAGATTGAGATTGCAATGGATGCTTTGTCAGCCTCAGGTTCAGATGATTTGGAACAGTGCCAGATCCACTTGTCTCCCTGAACTCTGGCTTGTATGATATTGGGACCACATAAACCAACAGAGTCATTATGCAGTGTCCTACCTCTAGTTGCTTTATCCTCCTGAAGTCATCCACAGAGAGATGTGGCACCAGGATCCCTTCATTTCAGACACTCAGTGAACTTGATTGTCTGAAGAGGAAACACTGGCTTTTCGTGTTTGCTTGCCCATGTCCCATCACTTCTCTGAGCTTAGACTTCGTCACTGTGGATGAACCACACTCTTTAGCTGAGCAGAGTCCACATCCTTGACTACTGGGCTCTGGTCAGTTTCTGAGACTTCCTTAGCCAGAAGATTAAAGAGGTAATGGTTTCCTCCTCTGCCTTATAGGAAAACAGCCCTTCATCCAGGGTACTTAGGTGTTCCACTGTGAGGATAGAGCCCAGCTGATGGGAAGTTCAGTGTTGGAAGGGATGGTCCCAGCTGGGTGGTACAGGAGAGAGCTGAAGACCTTGCTTTACCTGCTGTTCAGAGGACAGGGCTGGTAGTGCCAGATTAGCGCCAAAAGTGCTAAGCTTGAGCAGGATGATCAGACATGTTCCTGAGTTAAATGTCTACAAACAGACTTGTGCTGGGTCAGTTGCTGTTTGTAAGGCTGTACCTGAAGGACTGAACACATGAGCCAGCGAATCTGCCTGGCGGGGGTTGCAGGCAGGGAGTACTGTGTAGTGGATAGCAAAGGACAACTTGTGGAAGATGTGTCTTGATTTTTACAAGCAGCTTTCATCTCCCTTCCCCCAGCAGCTTTACAAGACCACGGTGCAAGTATGTACTATTTCATATGCTAGCAATTACAGTCCTTACTGGAAGTTGCTTTCCATCTTGAGGTCTACAAATGTACAAAAAACAGGAGCCCTGGAATCAAGACGTACATTACAGACCTTGGAGAAGGCTTTTGTCCTTTCTTTCTGGATGGTGGATCAGTGACTTTGGATTGGTGGATTTGTAGACTTTGGATATTTTCATTTTTGACTTTTAGACCTTACCAATTTAGGCTTAATCCTGATCCTTTAAAATCAATGTCAAAGTTCCCACTGACTTCAAAAGAGGCAGCCTAAGCTTTCAAATACTTTAAAGAATAATTTAAAGCAAACAAACCCAAGATGGATAAGAACTGCATTTTCTCTCTCTATTAGGCATGCAACTTATTTTCTCCAAATGTAAACGTTACCTGGAGAGCTAAGCAGTGATGTGGTTTTTATTATTTCTTTAGGAGGTTACAGTACCCAAAGTATATTCCATACATTCTTCTTCATTTCAGAGCCAAACATAGCTATGTAAAGTGAGTGGCTTGTTTACAGTAGGCCCTTACGGCTTGCTATCAAATTAGTGGCAAATCAGGACTGTAGTAAACAGAGGTCAAAGATCAAACCCACAATTTCACATAAAATTCCAGACCATGTACACAAAATTTAAAATGCAAAATCTTCAAATCACAAGACCATCAACTGCTCTTAAAACTAATCAAAAGCAGGATAAGGACTGGAGGAAATGAAAACTAAACATGATTTTAATCCGAATTTTAATGGAACAGCTACATCATGGGTATCTTTTAACCACGACAGCTGATTCCAT